TCGTCTGGGCGTTGATGAATCGCTAAATAAGTCAATAAGTTAGTCAACCACTTTACTCTTTTATTAGCATAGATTGTCCATCATTTTATATTATTAATTATATATTATTTATGAAATATTATTTATTATTTGCAGTTTTGTACTTATAGTTTATTATATAATATTTTTATTTTCTATTTGTCATTTTCTATTATTTATTCTTATTATTTTTTATTTATTTATTATTTTTTTGTGAACCCCTGTAATTTCCTTTCATTTCTTTAGATTGCCGCTGTCCTCTTTTTCCGTCGTAATTTTTATTCTAGTCTCTGCCATCAATGTCGTTTATTGTTGTTGTGTCGCTGACTCCGTTGCGGGTGCCTTCAAAAATGTCTTGATAATATTTTCTCCCGCTCAACTCCAGAAAACAGGACAGCAATCCTTCCCAACACAACACCAATACTTCCTTCTGTCTCTCCTACTAAACATTAGCCTTTCCTACTCAAAGTATTCTCCGAAAGGATGAATGTTGTTCGTGGTTTTTGCGTTAAGAGCGCGTGATTTTATTTTTGTTTTGCCGCTGACACAATTTATATCCTGTGTGCATATATTTTTCTTATGCTTATCACAAATGTAAAAATGTCGTCATTTGTGGTTTGTGTGCTGTGCGGCGCGCACATTTTTCAAGGAAACCACCAGTCGTGTTAGAAGACAGGCAGGCCATCAGGGCATAGTTGTGCCACACACTGTGCACAGTACGTTTAGAGACATTTTTCTTTCATTCTTGTGATGTCTGTATTCTCAGTTTTTCTTTCTTTCAAAATATCTCCCGCTGTATGGTTAGACAGCGGTGTTTTGTAAGGTAGTCAAAGATTGGAGTTGGGTAGGAGTAGTAGTCGTAGTTTTTGTATAAAGGGAAATAAATTAAAATATTTGTAAACAGATGTAAAAATTGCATAGAGGTGAACATTTCAATTTAGATTTTTAAATTTCGGACAAGTAGATCATTTGGAGTTCTATAAGAATACATTCTTCTATATGAAGAAATTTTAGTTTTTAGAAAAAGTTATATTCTTCTAAAATTCTATAAAAAGGTACTTTGTGAGTAGACCATTTAATCTACTAAATGAAGGACATTTGGTCTTCCAAAAGAAAACCCTCTGAAATTTTATAAATAGACTCTCTGGTCTTCTATAAAATGATTCTGTGGCTATTGGTTTTCTATAAGCAGGTCCTTTGGTAATAAGAAGACCCTTTGGTCTTCTATAACAATACCCTTTGTTCTTCTATAAGAAAAAACATTTGTCTTTTAAGAATATTCTTTGATCTTCTATATGAATACTCTTTTGTCTCCTATAAAAAGACACTTTTCTAAAAAGACTCTATGGTCTTCTATAAGAAACGCCATTCATTTCCTATAAGAAGACCATAAGTTCTTCTTTAACAAAACTCTTTGTCTTTCTATAAGAAACCCCTTTGGTCTTCTTATGGAAACCTGTTGGTATTCACATTTTGGTCTTCTATAATAAGACCATCTTATCTTCAATAAAAATACTCTTCTGCTTTTAATAAAAAGATCATTTTAATGCTTTTAATAAGAAGAGACCATTTGGTATTTTATAAAAATATCCATTCTATAAGAAGATCCATCTGTCTTCCACTGGAAAACCTTTTGTCTCCCATAAGAAGACCTTTTAGCCTTCTATAAGAAAATGCTATGTTCTTCTATGGGAAGGCCCTTTGAAAAGCATTTTTGGTCTTTTAAAAGAAACCCCTTTGGAAGATTTTTAGAGTCTCCTGTGGGAAGAATGTTTGGAACTTATTTTGGGTTTTCTATAGGAGGACCCTTTTGGTTTTCCGTAAGAAGTCCTTTTGGTCTTCTAAAGGAAACCCCTCTTCAAGACCTTCGGAGTCTTCTGAATCTACTGGTAGACCCTCTGCAAGACATTTTTGGTCTTCTATAGGAAACCCCTCTTCAAGACCTTCGGAGTCTTCTGTTGGAAGATTTTTTAGAACTTCTATTGAAGATCTTTTGGGTTTTCTCTAGGAAAGCCATTTTTGTTACTCCGTAAGATGTTCTTCTGGGTCCTATACATGAAGGTCGTTTGTGTATTCTAAAGGAAGATCTTTTGGCCCTTATACCAATATAATGACCCTTTTAGTCTTCTATAGAAAATCTTTTTGGAGTCTCTGTTGGAAGACTTTTCTAAACTTCGATTGGAGGATCTGTTCTTTTAGATATTCTGTAAGAAATCATTTTTATATGAAGGGCTTTTGTGTATTCCAAAGGAAGATTTTTGGACCTTCTATTGGTAGACCTTTCCGGTCTTCTACAAGAAGATATTTTGTGTCTTCTATTTCGGTCTTCTTAAGGAAGAAATATAATTTTTCTGTAGGAGGACCCTTTCGATATTCTATTGGAAAATCTGTTGAGTCTTTTATAGGGCAACCACTTGGGTCTTTTATAGGATCTTCTGTAGGAATACCTTTTGGGTCTTCAATATGAATGTCTATTAGGTCTTCTACAATCATACTAGTTCCTTCTTCTATTGTTTTGACATCTATAAGGAAGACATTTAGGTATTATATCGGATGTTCTTTGAGAAGGACTGAAAGACTTTAGGAGTTTATCTTAATCTTCTATACAAATTTCCTTTTTAAAAAACCTTCCAATCTTTTATTAGAATACCATTCCAAACTATTTATTAATTTCAATACAAGTACTTTCATATGAAGGGAAGATCTTTGGGTCTTCTATTGGAAAACCTTTCCGGTCTTCTAACAGAAGTTCAAGTTAAATTCATCTGCGGATATACCTATTCGGTCTTCCTAAGGAAGATCTATAAGTTTTCGGTTGGTAGTCCTTTTGGGTCTTCTATAGGAGGACCCTTTCGATATTCTATAGAAAAATCTGTTAGGTATTTTATAGGGCAAACTCTTGGGTATTTTATAGGAAAACCTCCTAGTTTTTTTATAGGAAGAACTTTTAGATCTTCTATAGGAATACCCTTTGGATCTTCAATTTGAATGCCTATTAGGTCTTCCACAAGCATACCAGCTTCTTCTTCAACTGGAAGGCATTTTTGGTCTTTCATTATGAGTTTTTGTTTTGAGATATGTAAGAAGGACATTAGGTATTATATCGGACGTTCGTTGAGTCTTGTACAGAAAGACTTTTTGAAATTCTCTTATTCTTCTATACAAATGTTCTTTTAAAAGACCTCTGAAACTTTTACTAGAATACCAATTAAATCCATTTATTAATTGCAATACAATAATCCTTTTCTTGTTGTCCAAATTTGTAAACCCTATTTTAATGCAACCTCTTCATGATCTCCACAGCATGACCTGACCTCTTTATAGAATTCATTAGATATCTCCCGAGTCTCTTAGTTTCACTTTAGATAATCCCTAGTTTTACTACTCCCATGCCATGCCATTTTTTCGGCGTTTCATTTCATTTCTTTGTTGTTTGCTTATTCCCGTCATCTTAAGCGCCAGAACCCTTTTTGTGTTTTGCCCTGTGATAAATGTCGACAATTAAGTTGTGTCGTTTGTCGTCCTTGTCTTTTTGGATTGGTTAATTGTCGGAGGAGAGCGAGTGAGAGTCGAAGGACGTTTCGTTGTGGCTAGTGGCATATTTCCGTTTCTTGAGTTTTGTTTCGTTACTCTCATTTCACTTCCATGGACTATTGGGTGGGAGGAAGGGCGGTTTGGTGTATAATATAACGTTTGTGGTTTATTCTTAATTAGCAAAAATATCTTTTCAACAAAACTGCCAAACTAAGTACTGGCTGGGGTTAAGTTTTTTTGGTGGGTGATGAAAGCAGTCGGAAAGCTAAGAAATTGGTAAGGGACTTTGCAACTTCAACGGCAACTATTATTACTGTTGATAGCAAAAGTCATTTCCTTTGGGGCGTTACAGTACGGGAAATGAAACTAAGAACATGGCGATAGAAAGGCCTTAGATATTCTGGATTTAATTTTATAAAGTGGATAGATTTTATATTAAATTCATTTCTATTTTCATCAAATAATAAATACTTTTTTGAGTATTAATAAATTATGAAATTAAATGAAACAAAAAATCCCTATACTTCGACAAAGTCCTGTTGATAGCTGATGCATGAAAAACTGTGTGTATGTGTCCATGTCAATCATAATAATTTTTGCTTAATGTTACGCTCGAATTCTCTTAACAATTTCAATGTATTATGAACAAGAAGTACGGAAAAAAGAAAAACAAATTAAATACAAAAATTGTAAATCCCAACATCAGACTATGCCATCAAACTCAACACGCACACACATACATACTCACACAAGGCCAACTGTGTGCATTATGTGTGGTGTTTCAACTCGTTTTTTGTTGTACTTGGTTTTTTGTTTTATGTCAGAAATTTAAATAATTTAATTCACTTTTCACTTGTCAGTCAAGTCGACTGTAACAGTTTAATTCACAACAGCAGCAGCAATATTGAAATTTTCATGTGATGGAAATAATATTGTAGGCGATATAAACACTCGCACACTGACACACACACACACCTCCACACAACCATTCAGTCAAGGCAAAAATAACAAACAAAAGGAACAAACAACACATCATCGGGACAAAAAAAGAGAGTATCAACAATAAAAACAATTTGACAAGTATTCCGACAGCAAAAGTATATTGTGGTCAATAGTATAAAAACAAAAAAAAAAACACACACACTGAGAACAGAATCACACATACACACAAAAAACGACAACAGAAACCAATAAAAAATTGCCTGCAACATTATTAAACAACTTAATTATTTGTTGCCGAAGGCATTCATGTATACACTTTCAGATGTTACATATTGTTGTAAATTTTTCCCCATACAACAAAAAAACATGATTGTACAGAGTATATGTTTTAATATGTGCTACATATACTATATATATGTGTGCATATCTTTTTATAAAATGTCATTAAATTGTTAATTTCCTTATATTAAAAAACCATTTGTAATAATGTGTGTGTTCGCTTTCTTTTATTTTGCAGTTTCGATGTCCGGGGGAGACCGTTCGAAAAGGCTTTGTATTGGTCTGATACAAACTCATTTGGTCCACGTGCCTATTTTGTCACCACCACACAACCTGCCAAACTACAAGTTGACAATATACAGCTGGATGATGAGGGTGTGTACCGGTGTCGAGTGGATTTTCAAAATTCGCCCACACGCAATCATAGAATAAATTTAACGGTTATTGGTAAGTATTGTCCTTTAAAAATAACTTTTAGATTTTTATTAGAATTGTATATATTTTTGTAGTTATTGTGATTGTAAAAATTATATGGGGTTAATTAGTAGGATGTGAGTAGAATATTTTTAGGTTTAGTTTTTACAAAATGGAAAAAAAACCTAACACATTCTGTTTGAGTAAAGAAAATTTTATAGGCAACAAAAGGAGGCGGATGAAATGATAATGCTTGTAATGACGAGAATTAGATGATGCTGACAACGAGCAGTTAATAGCATACAATTAAGTAATGATTGCACATACAAATATATTATAGTAAATTGGCAGTATTTTGGGGGATTTTATCGTATTTATCCGCCGAATTAGCTGTAATTTAGTATTTTGAGTTCTTAATATGTACCAAATCTCTCCACAAAAAATTATGAATATATGAAATTATGAAAATATAGCCCCCCATATAAGGTTACCCCCAATTTTCGATATTTTGGGGTTCTTGAACGCGTTTTTCAACCAAATTTGCTGCAATTTAGTATTTTCTAGTCGTATATGGTAACTAATCTCCTTACCAAAAATTATTAATATTCGACCCCTTTTTGGGGTAGTCCCCTTTTTATACCCTTCACCACTCTGTGGTACAGGGTATTATGTCTTTGTGCATATGTTTGTAACAGGCAAAAGGAAACGAGATAGACACATGGTTCCTTTTGAGAATATGCATAGAATCACTTTCTGAGTCGATTTATGCATGTCCGTCCGTCCGTCTGTAGATGTTAAATTGTAAACAAAGTACAGGTCGCATTTATGATCCGAATGGGATGAAATTTGGCATAGGTCACTTATTCGGCCCAAGGACGAACCCCATTGAAATTGGGAAAAATCGGTTCAGATTTAGATATAGCTCCCATATATATTTAACCGATTTAATGTAAACGGTCACTATATATCTTTCGATTTGCACGAAATTTGGTACAGCCTAATCATTTAGGTCTGGAATGATGTCTGCCAAGTTTCGTGAAAATCGGTCCAGATTTAGATATAGCTCCCATATATAGTTTCGTCCGATTTCATGTAAATGGTGATCCAAAGTCCCTATATATCTTTTGAATTGCACGAAATTTGGCATAACGTACTGACTTGAGCCTAGAATGATGTCTGCCAAGTTTCGAGAAAATCGGTCCAGATTTAGATATAGCTCCCATATATAGTTTCGTCCGATTTCATGTAAATGGTGCCCCAAAGTCCCTATATATCTTTCGATTTGCACGAAATTTGGCATAACGTACTGAATTGAGCCTAGAATGATGTCTGCCAAGCTTCGAGAAAATCGGTCCAGATTTCTATATAGCTCGCTCATATATAGCTCACATATTTTAAGTAATTGACGCACCAAGGAACCAATAGGAACAAACCGTTCTGAAATTAGTATAACCTAACCTGTGACAAGTTTGCTTGAAATCGCTTAATATTTGGATGGAGCTTCCATATATATTTTCGCATCAAACTTCTCATGTTAGTCAGATTCACATCAAATTTTGCACAACGTACAAAATTGAGCATATAATTACGCTTCTAGAAGTATATACATAGCCCAACGTATGACCTATTTATATTTGTTTGAAGTCGATTTACATAATTTATGGATATATCTAGGTAGATTCACATTTAAATAAATATCACATATATATTTTTTCATCCAATTTCATGTTAATAGTCCTATGGTGAAGAGTATCATATGGTCGGTCTCGTCCCGTCCGACTTTAATACTTTCCTTACTGATTTATATTAAAATAGTTATTTGGTTTTTTCCGCGTTTGAGTTTGGGTCTAAGTCTCTGTTGTAATCATTTCACCTGCGGAGGATAGCAAGATAAACCAGTAAGGAAAGTAGTAAAGTCGGACGGGGCCGACTATATGATACACTTCAATACTTTGGGCGTATTCAATAGATGAATCCTAACAGACGTCCCATTCTTAGAGGACCAGTAAAATGAAATTGGATCCATAAACATGTCATTCTGCAACCTATACTAAATAGAAGCTATATCTAAATCTGAACCGATTTCAACGAAACTTAACACACATCATTCTAGACCTCATTATTAACGCTGTGACAAATTTCGTGCAAATCCAAAGATATATAGGGACTTTGGTGCACCATTTACATTACATCCGACGAAAATATATATGGGAGCTATATCTAAATCTGAACCGATTTTCAGGAAACTTAACACACATCATTCTAGACCTAATTCATAACACTGTGCCAAATTTCTTGCAATTGAAAGATATATAGGGACTTTGGTGGACCATTTACATCAAATCGGACGCAAATATATATGGGTGCTATATCTAAATCTGAACCGATTTTCAGGAAACTAAACACACATCATTCTAGACCTAAGTCATTACGCTGTGCCAAATTTCGTGCAAATCGAAATATATATAGGGACTTTGGTGCACCCTTTAGATTAAATCGGACGAAGATATATATGGGAGCTATATCTAAATCTGAACCGATTTTTCCCAATTTCAATAGGGTTGGGCCAAATAAGTGACCTATGCCAAATTTCATCCAAATCGGATCATAAATGCGACCTGTACTTTGTTCACAAAAATACATGGATGGACAGACGGACGGACAGACGGTCATGCGTAAATCGACTCAGAACGTGATTCTATGCATATTCTCAAAAGGAACCATGTGTCTATCTCGTTTCCTTTTGCCTGTTACAAACATATGCACAAAGACATAATACCCTGTACCACAGTGTGGTGAAGGGTATAAAAATTAGAACACACTGTTCGATAATGAACTATAGCCGCATATAGACCTAGCCCCTGTGTGGAGGTTCCAGAAAGAGTGAACCGATATTCCCCATCTTCGAATTTGACCTAGGTTTGGAAAAAATAATAAGATGGGCAAAGTTTGGATGAAATTTTAATTTTCTGAAACGGATTTGGTCCAAAGAAACATGGGGTCTAGAACCAATATTTCGATCAGCCAAATTTTCACCGTTTTACAGTGTATACACACTCATTCGTTATAGGGCTGAGGGTATAATTATTCATTAAAAATTTCTGAAATTAGTATTATGGTTTACATTATAGATTACATAATCCGTTTTTAGAAATGTCGATATAGGTCTACTTTTTGGTATGTTCCCTATATTTTCATTTTTATTACCTGTCAGTATATTTATGGTGGAGGGTATTCAAAGTTCGACCCGGCCGAACTTAACGCTTTTTCACTTGTTATTAGTGGCTTGAGTTTTGTTTTGATGCTTTCGTTTGCATCCAATGAAAATGCGGTCCAAATTTGGCTCACAAAGGGTCCACCGAATATGGTTTTATGGTCCCGAAAATACAAAAATGTATTTTCATTTATTGCCTTCAATATATCGAAATTTGGAGTGTTATCTTCAAAATAGGAGTCTGAGCGCCCATTTTGTTTCATTGTGTATTTTGATTTTTCACAGCTTTATGAGGTCCTTGGTGGAATTGGCTATTAATATTCCTGAAAACTCTATAAACTGAGAAGTATATTCGAACGGAGTCGACTATGAGGTATACACCCTCTACTAACCAATATCAGAATGTGTAAACCCCTGAGAACCTTTAGTACACGCCCTTATATACAATAGTAACAATTTTTGATGTCTTCCAGGCATCCAGAAGAACGAAGCGGTATGGACATGAATTTTATTCAATAATGTTGACTGCAGAAGTTATGGCTAGGTTCGGTGGAATATTACGTTTGTATACTCCACCAAATGTCCGACAGTTGGACATCCACTTAAGCCTGATCTTAGAAGAAACAGCTTGATGTTAATCTCCGTATTTTTCTAGGTTCTTAGTGAAGTTCTTTAATCGTTTCCTCTACAGCTACTGCTTCTATTTAATCCTCCCTTATATTTCGCCCATAGACTCACTTATAAACCTATCTCCGGTGTAGGGTGTTCCATATCGATCTACTTGACCATGGATTTATGTCTTAAAGCTGCCCGCTCACCCCTTCATATTTTGATTGGATAACAATTGGATGTATATACAATATAGTCGGCAATGTGATAGGTTTGTCTTTCGCATTGCCCCACTAGACAGCATGTTATCATTACTTTTTGTAGTACTCTTACATTTAATAACGCGCTTTTTGATTCGAGGTATCATCTTTGGATTAAAATCACACTAACAGCCTACCTCTCTTTTATAGAAAGATCATCATTCGGTATTTTATGTTAATTTTCCTGACTACTCCCCCGATGTTTTACTTTATTTGATTGGGTATATCTTTGTTTTGGATGATTGTCTCATAGCACTGCTCTATCTTTGTAATTCCGCCCTATCAGGATCTACATTAAGTCCTCTCCGCTTAGCCCAATTAGAGGCTTAAATATCGCTTTTACAGCCTATTAATAAAGGCTTTGGATTCAATTCTGACTTTATCGGAAGCTCCTTTCATATCAATGTATTCAAGAAGAGTATGCATTTTCCTGTCGATGGTGTTCTCAAAATGGTGTATACTTTGTTTTAAGTGGTTCAGAAGTGAATCAAGCATCCAGTTGACCAAAATACGCCAAGGATTTATAGATTAGAACTAGCAAAATCTTTGTGCAAAATTCTGTAAGGGGATAAAAGCCCTTAGCGAGTATTCTACAAACCCAGAAGGTTAAATTCGCCACAGGTCAAGTTTTTGAATTATGGCGTGATGACTTTTCTGCTGATAAGTCTAACATTTCTGAAGATATTTTTGTCTGCGGTCATTGTAGGTTATTTTTAGATGAGATATCTTCAGAAAAAATTGATTGAAGGATATTTGTAAAACATGTCCTCCTTCTGTTTGGAGTTCTTTTACGTCAGCTTCCTTCCTCCTTTAATTCTTAAATCTGGGTAAATCCGTGTCCGTTGTCATCGTCCTTTTCCAATTTTACCCTTGCTCAGAAAACATTATTAAAAACTGTCGTAATTTTTTTCTTTTTTTAAGCTGACTCGAGCCGTTTTTAGAACAATAGAACTGATAAAATGGAAAATTTAAATGTTTTCAATTGTTCTTATCTGGGAAATTAGTACTCTCTATTTTCAAATAGGTTTTTTACGTAACTTGTAATTTCCAAGTTCGATGCGACCCAAGTTAACATCATATTAATATTTTACTCCCTATATATTTGTAACAATAAATAATTTATATTTTCTTTTCTTTCAGTTCCTCCACATCAAATTCTCGTATATGATGCATCGGGTCGTGATGTGGCCGGTGCTGTTGGTCCACTCTTTGAAGGCGATAACATTGTGTTGACATGTGAAGTGCGTGGCGGTAAGTTAACATGACATGTTAAAGCGTTAACAAAATATTTGTAAGAAAACCAGAAGTTTGTAACTGCGTGTGGCAAAACAACAAACGAAAAATTGTTGTGTCACGATAGCCAAAAAGAGTTTTTCGCAGTACACCAAAAGAAAAACAAAAAATTATACACCTTATGTCGCCCCCGAATACTGTAGAGAAAACCGCAAAAGAATATACTCCACGCCGTGTTCAAGAAATGCAGTGTCGTTTCACTGATTTGACCTGTAGACATATGCGGTGTCGTAAATCTTTTAAAAACTCCCCAAAGAGATATGATGGGTGTACATGTTTATGTGTGGTCAGTGGCAACAAAATATCACAAAACTATACAGTCATATACATACACATACATGGCGGGTAACAAAATCAAGATGTGTGTGTGTGTGAGGGTCTGCAACAAGCACAAAGAAAAAAGGTTACATATTGAAAAAATACTGCAACTTGGCAAACAACTTGGCTGGCAAAATATTGCACAAAAGGCAGGCAGAGAGCCAGAAGAAGACCTTCGCATAAACTGCCAACACTACTAGCAAGCAATCGAAATATCTGTGTGCGTTTCGTTCTCCCTTGAGTGTGATGCGGGTGTATGTGTGTGTTTGTTTTTTTGTTGTTGTTGTCGTTTTCCTTGCCAACATGCTATGGCTATGGCTGAAGATGATTTTATTTGTTTGCCGCCTGTGCATTGGGTGCCATAAATCATAATTTTTCTGACAACATTTCAGGGACTTTGTTACACTGCCAGCGGTGTCTGTGCATAATAAGCTTTAAAATTTTATTGCAACACATGGAATTAATATGAATGATATTTTGTATGTGGGTGTGTGTGTGCGTGCGGGCTTTCATCGTCTTCTGTTTGATGTTGTTTGGCTGTTGACTAAATTTTAGTCAAGTTTAAGTTGTTTTTTTCGGTGAATAATAAACAGAAATATGATATAAGTCCAAGGTCTTGTTGTCTAGAGTGGGTGTGTGTGAGCGCTTAGGTGGTGTATGCTTATTTATTGGTGTACATATTAAGTATACGCATAATGAAACACTTGCGTAAATATGCATGTCTATAGATTTTTAAAACGGGTTTCATGATGAAACACAGTGATATGTGGTAAAGAAAGAAAATTAAATATTTGGATAAATCTATCAAAATTCAGAAGTTCGGAAGGGTTATATTAAAAATTTAAGGATAAAGACGTGTCCATGTTTTTCTGCAGACCCAAAACTTATTTTTTGCAATATTTTTAAAAAAGAAATTTGTGAAACCCCCATGAAAATGTGTTCACTCAAATATAGAGTCTTCCAATTGCAATCATCACAGTTCATAAATGTCCTCATTTTTTTTTTTTAAGTAGCTACCTTGGTATTTTCATAATTGACATATTCTGATAGTAATTTGAATTTATCATTTTCCAATTGTACACCTGGAAAACATTCAAATTCCCCCTTCTTTAGATATTGATCAATGTGTCCGAACAATATGTGCTACCATGGTTACACTTAGAATGATAGTCGAACCTGGATGGTTGACTGATTGGCTGGTATTGCTGTTCATAACCACAATTTAATTGAAAATCACTTTATTAAATTGCAATTAAGCAATGAAGTGTCGGTCATGCAAAAACAAAAAAGAGAAAAAATTAAATGGGAAATAATAGAAAAACCAGAGAAATACAAAAATGAAACAGAGCATAAAAAGAGCTAGACGGAGAGTGAGGAAAAAAACATAAAATGAAATGCAATATTTCATAGGTTTTTTGTATCCTTCCTTCTTCATTCCATGAATATTGAGTATTGTTTCATTGTTTTTTATGCTTCTTCTTTTTTGTTAGTTACTTTTGTTCGAAATCAATTGAATAAGCCGTAGCTTTTATTTTTCAATGTTTTGCCATTGTTGAGACACTCTCACTCACACACACATACATACACTTCTATAAAATGTGGTAGTACTAGCATTAGATATATCAGTTAGTTCACTAGTACACTTACACACCATTTGCCATTGTTCTATTTTCTGAATCGTGGTTATACTTCAATACCACGTTTACGCTTTTAATCCGTAACGTATTTCGGTTAGTGATTGGGATTTAAACATCAATTTAACTTCGGATACAATGCCAGCAAATGAATTACTGGCTAAAAGTGCAAGGTAAAAAAAGACCAACACACACACACATAAACACACAAAAAGAGCACACCGGAATGCAGCCAGGAAATGAAACAGTTAAAGTCAAATCTATGTTGAATTAGGAGGGATAAATGTCTGCTGGCGTGTTGTAGCGGCGTAGCACAGTAGGGAATATTTCCATTTTAGAATATAATTTATTTGTTTAATGTTAATTAATTAAATGAAATAAAATGTAAATGAAAAATCAAATAATGCAGAAAAAATTTAATAGAGATATGAAACCAAATAAAAATATCTTTTAGTTCGACTTGATCGACCATTTTATACCCTGCATTATGAGAGGGTACTTCAAACTACTCAAAATCTGTTTATATGGATGGCAATAGAAAATTCCTGCCAAAAAAAAAAAAGAAATACCAAACTGCAAACACTAAACTTAGAAAAAACAAGTAAGGAAAGTATCAAAGGTCAATCTGGGCCAACTTCTCGACTATAAATATATACTTCACCACTTTGGGTATATTCTACATATGTATCCTAACAGACGACACGTTTTTGTTATATATCTATATCTGAACCGATTTCGGGGAAACTTGCCAGAGACTAATTTATATTACATCAGTACGTTGTGTCAATCTGCCTAGCTATGGATCTTTTCACGAAGCTTAGCAACAATATTTTAGACTTAATTCAGTACCCTATACCAAAATTCATGCAAAGGTGTATAAACTCTTGAGGCTGCACAAAGCTATAATACCCTGACAACATAGTTGTGTAGGGTACAAAAAAAAACAACAAATTTGCCAAAACACAAACACAACACTAAGGAAAAAACAGTAAGGGAAGCAGTAAAGTCGGAATGGGCCGACTATATGATACACTTCATCGGGTACATTTGTATCCCAACAATTTCATGTCAAAGGAACATAAATATGCCTTTCTCCAACATATGCTAAATGTAATTTCATTCGTCCAGATTCAGAGTGCATACAATAGGACAAATGAATGAAATCGATTTATAAAAAACTTGATACACGCTATTCTGTATGCGGCACTTTCAAAAATATCATCTCAATCAGATACCCGTTCGAAACAAACCACAAACATTTTGTGTCTATCGGACAACATTAAGAGTTGGTGGACCATTTAACTAAAATCAGACGAAAATATATGTTAGATGTACCTAAATCTGAACCGATTTTCTCGAAAATTAACACATATTATTCGAAACTCAATTCAGTACACCAGTACTTTAGTACACCATTTCCATAACATCAGCCGATAATATATATGTTAGCTTTATCTAAACCTCAGCCGATTTTTACGAAGCTAACAGAAATCATTCTAGACTTAATACAGTACGATATGCCAAATTTCGTGCAAATCGAAAGATATAAAAGGACTTTGCTGCACCATTTACATAAAATTGGATGAAAATATATATGGGGTCTATATCTAAATCTGAACCGATTTTTACGATACTCAGCACACATCACACATCTGTATCTATATCAAATTTCGTGCAAATCGAGAGATATATAGGGAATTTGGTGCACCATTTACCTTAAATCGAACGAAAATATATATGAGAGCTATATCTAAATCTCAACCGATTTTTCCCAATTTCGATAAGGTTCGTCTTTGGACCAAACAAGAGGGCTGTGCCAAATTTCATCCAATTCGGATCATAAATGCGACCTGTACTTTGTTTATAATTTAACATGGATAGACTGAACGACGGGAATAAATCGACTCAAAAAGTGATTCTATGCGTATATGTATATCGATTCTCGATCGGAAATTATGTCATGGTAAAATGTGTTCACGGGAAAATACCAAACTACAAAAACTCAGGCAAAGAAAATAGGACTAGGACCAAATTCTTTATATGGGAGCTACCAAAACTTGGGTTTATATATATCATTTTTGGTAGGTACATTTTCCCCACAATTATAGGAAAAAAATAATTAAGGGTCAATTTGTTTGAAAAACTTAAGCACGTATCCCCAAAATATAGTATAACGAGGATATTGGTATATAGAGGCTATAACGAAACTTTGGTCAAATTTAATATATTGTGGTAGGGATATTTTCTATGTTCGATATATGGGGGCTAGCCTAAAAAGTGAACAATTTATGATCCAATGATTACTATCTTACGACATATACAAAATGGTGATTCCGCCACAGCTACATATCATGCTTTACGAAGAGATTATGGTTTACATACTCGGCAATTTATACAAGGAATTGGCAAAATTGTAAAGAAATTTTAAGGGACTGGAGCAGTTAGAAATATTTTAAGTCCTGTGCATTATTGTTTCGCTAAAAACATCGCGGCGTTCTGAGAATCCTCATGTAGTTTTAGGGAGACCATTGTATCCAGAAAAAATGCCGTTTCGGTCCGAAGATATGAATGAGCCTTACTTCTTTAAAAAATGTCTATGGAACGATTGTCACCGTAAATTCGGAGTATTTGCCTCCTATTGAGGAAAATTAATTAAAAACACGAAGTGCATAACCCTGTATATTTTAAATTAAAATAACTAATATATAACTTTGCGTCTAAAATGGTGAACATTAAATGCCTCTATTTCATTGATTTCAAAAACTATTTAGTTCGGTCTTATTTTGTAAATTAGCCAATAATTCCAATTAAATATTTACCTATAACGATTTTCAAAAATTCCGTGTACAATTTATTTTGTTTATATACAATTTACAAATTGTATATTCGATTTGCTGGCAGTTTTGTGCATTACACCACCTGCATAAGCCGGCTAATTTTTTTTTAAAGCCACACAGGAATTACCAACAACTAAGCCAATAGTTATTTTACAATTGTTTATTTATT